TTTATATATGTTGCTCGTAGCCATTTATTTCATGCGATATGTAGCTGTTTAGTTCGTATATAAATATTAGGTATATAAATTCTCTTCATTCATCACTTTCCTGCTCTTTTGCACTACAGATTCCATTAATGGCCAGGTTCGGTAGAACGTTTAATTTGTAACTATTGAAAAGTTTTTTCTGAGTTGAGATTGTATTATTTTTTTAGATCTAAAGGAATAGAAACCCTATATATATATATATTTATTTATTTATTTATTTATTTATTTATATTTATATATATTTCATTTCAGTAACGGTAATAACTAAAATATTATTTAAGCCAATCTTCTATTTCAACTTCTCCAGAAATTATTTTTTTTCAATAATTAATATATGCTCAACGAATTTCGTACCCAGCAATCACTCAGTTCTTAAATTCTTCGTATTAAAAAGATAAATACAGAACTAAACGACTGCATTATTATTTTATCGGCCATGTAACATGTGTTTTTCTCTTGACAGATTTAACTAATGCTTGCAATTCCGTCGATAGTCTCTCATTTGATTTTGGCTTCTTAGATCGCTTAACCTGTATTTTTAAAACATTTGAAACGTTAATTTTTCGAATATAAGCGAGAAGATACACGAATATCGCGGTTAGCGGGAATGTTAATCATTTCACTTACGTCTTCTACGCGTGCTACGTCATCGGCTCTTCTCTTGAGCTTTTCATTAACCAAAACCTCGGTACCCTTTGTCTTCCTATAATGCGGATTGGTGGGATCGATATTGAAGTGATGCGATGTGAATAAAGCGGTGAATCTAGGATCAGTAACGTCGACTTCGAAATCGTCCTCCTTAACTTTTTCTTGCATATTTTTCTTCTTGCTGAGACGTTTTCGCTTAGATTTGGAAAGAGCGGTGTTTTCTTCAATTTCCTTCATGTTGAAATGTTTCTTACCACCACTCTCATCTTGATCCATTAACAGTAACTCTAACTCTGCTTTACGTTTATCCGCTTCTTGATTGCTCAATCCATCATTATCCTCATCGTCTCCCTTCTCCTTCTTACGAGACAATGATTTACCATTTTTCAATTCCCCACAGAAGTGTTTATCGTTCACATTTATATCGGACTGCAAAGAATCTTCTGAACCGTTCAATTGGCTTTTTTTCTTCTGCTTTTTTTCTTCTCTTTTGGCTTTTATCTTTGTTTTGCGTTTCTCTACATATTTCTGGAAAGGCGTGAGCTCTTCATTGATTTTCGTCTTTTCTTTATCTAATATTTTATCCTTTTCTATCGTGTCTACATTCCAAGTGACTTCCAATTCGACATCCTTCTTTTCGGCCTCCTCTTGTTCTTCAATGGACTTCAACAGAGCTTTATATTTTTCAATTGGATCGTTTTTCACCTTCGAGTCCAAATTACCGTTGGCCTCGATATCTGGATCTTTTTTATTCTCTGTAGCTAAAATATGAAAACATATCGTATTAACATGCAGATACAATAGATAAACTACGGAATAATAATGTCATACCTGAGTCGTCTTCGCTACCACTCGCCAAATATTTATGTAACTCATTATCGTCGATGTCCTCTGGTTTTTCTGAAAATACCTTATTCATAAACTCTTGTCTGTCCGGATCAACATCGTCCCATGTTAAATCAATTTTAACTTGTTGCAAAGCTGTTGTCGTGAACTGTCTCGGTTGATACTTGGTAAAATCAGGAATCTTATTACACGAATCTTTAGGCTCCTAAAACAAGCATTGTATAGTTGAAATTTGTATATTTCTAAAAAAATATATGAACACAGGGGAAATGATGTCTAAACAAATTTTCAAAACATTTTAGAATTTAGCATATACCTGGTCAAATGTCATATTGTCTGGTATGAACCTGAGATCTAGTCTAGTTGCAGTTGATTCATACTCGATGCCGTCACATTCCGTATAGATTTTATTTGCTGTTTCGGCGGAATCAAATTCAGCAACAGCATAATAATATTTTAATCGATTCAATTGATACTGTCTCAGTTTTTCCATGTGATATTTTCTACCTTCTTCATTCTGAAAAAAGAAAAATAGACTGTAAAAATGAACATAAAAAAACAAAGTGCATCTTGAAACCATGAATAAAAGAGTTTGTAATTTTTTACATCCTCATTTTCGTCGTCACTGTCAATGTTATTACTTTTCAGTCCCGCTGGTCCATTTATTTCTTCTTCCTTCATTTGCTGTTGACCATATTCCGATGGATATATCTAAAATTGATAAATAAATTATAATTAGTAAACTGCTAATATATATATATATATGAAGTTAATTTATCAGCATATTTCCTATAATTATATATTCATTATGATGTTATTTGAAATACTTGACTAGTCAATAAATGATAAAATAGGAATATATGAATAATATATGTCTGTCATATTATTAATACATCAATTTTTATTATAATGTTTAATAAGATAATATTTTATAGTTAATAAGATAATATATTCATTTATATATATATATGTATATATACATATATATATATAAATGAAAATATTAACTTATTAAACATTATAATAAAAATTGATGTATTAATAATATGACAGACATATATTATTCATATTCCTATTTTATATATATATATATATATACATATATTACTGTAGTATATTATATATTATTACCGTGACTGAACACAGAAGACCACCGCTGGATAAGAAAGAATTTAACAAAATCATTAAGTCAACAGCACGTATCATATCCCAGTTCATATTACAAATGGCTAATCTACATGTTATCTCATCTGTTGTTTCAGCATCTTTGTCTAATTCACCCCAATCATGCTTAATCTCTTGATCATTATCTAAAAGAAAAGAAATATATGAGACAAAATCAAATAATATTAGATACCTTTGACTCATGTGTTATTATTGTACATTTATGTGTATGCATAATAATCCTGTAAATTGCAAAATCTCTATAGATATTGTGATATAAAATATAATAATATTACCACTATCATCAGAAGATTCTTCTTCTGAAGAACTACCGGTCATCAGGATACCTTCACCCCTAGCATAATTTACGCTAAGATCTTTTAATCTTTTCTTGATTTGGCTTGTCAGTTCCCTATTTTCGTGTTTGTCTCTTTTATGCAGCTGTTTTTTATTTTCATCTATATCTACTTGAAAAGATTCTTCCTGCACACTCTCATCCTCAGTATTGTATGAAGATTCATCTGATTCATCATCAAAGTACTGATCAGATTTCTTTTTCGGTTTTGTGTGTAACAAATCTATTTTTTTATTTTTTCTGTTTGAATGTATTTCAGTAGAGTTTGAACTAGTTCCTTTTGTTGTTTTGTTCTCCTTATTCTTTACTTGATTATGTATATTTTTTACTTGTCCTTTATTCTTGGTTTCCTGAGTCGCAGATAATACAGAAGCATCTTCTGTTTCTTCACTACTAGAGAGGTCGTAATACTTTCTAAGATTTTCTGAAGTATCCTGATTGACTGGTCTACCGCGCTTATCAGTAGTATATTTCACGGTAAACTTCTTATCTTTGAACATGCCTTGGAATCGTTTATCAATTTTCACTTTTCTCTCGGCTTTAGGAATATGGCGAAATTTTGGATCTTTCACGATATGCGCAAAACGCGCATCTTTCAGAAATTCAGCCATTATTGTTAGTTAATTCTAAAATTGCACGTACAAAAAAATATTAATGTATGGTTACAATAGATTTCGTACTACACTGTAGTATACACGTGCTTTCCCATTCCGTGCTGCGCAATACTGCTTGGTTAAGAATGATTACGTTCAGCAGAATGTTTAATTTGCAACTGTTGAAAGTTTTCTGAGCTGAGGTTAGATTAGGTTGCTTCCCTATGCGGCATAACTAACGTAAGCCTAACTTGCGTCAGCCAATCAAATTCGCCGTGGTAATTGAAAATTCAGTAATTGAGACGATTTGATTGGCTGATATAAGTTACGCTGCATGAGGAGGCAGCCTTCAAAGACATAATAATTTTTATAGAATTTATGGAATTCTTTATAACTGTACTACTTAAATTATATAAATCTTTTTTTTATTATAGTTATATATTTATTATAGTTACATATTTTTTGTATGATATTGATTAATTTTATTGACTGTGGTCAAAAAAATTGAATTTTTCTGTAATTTTTGTAAATTTCCGTTTTGCCTGTACATGGAAACATGGCAATTTGAGATTAAAACGGATAAAGGCCAATTTATAGGGTATAATGCCTACAATAAGATTGCGTTCGGGAATCCACACCGTGTGCACATTACTAGTATACTAACCGTTAATATACTAACCGTTCAGAAATACTCAGATTATGTTCGAGAATCCCACTCGTGGTGTGTTTTCGTGATTGCGGTGGAAAGAATGCGTTTAGGGAAATACTATTAGCGCTATTTAGCGCTAAAGCCCGTATCAGACTATGGATTGAAGATTGAGATTGAATTGAAATTTGACCAATCAGTGTAGAATTCATTGAATTTTACTAAATTTGAGTTTAGTTATCTTTACATCGATTGGCTAAATTCAATTCAATCTCAATCCCCAATCCATAGTCTAATACGGTCTTAAAAGTTATTTACAAAGCTAGAGGATAGTGCCAACAAACGCAATCATGACGTCACTAGTAGTGATGTGCTACTATCATAACAGCGTGACTACAAACACATAACTACAAACTATTCCTTCCGAAGTAGTGTAAAGCCCATATCAAACTATGGATTAGGGATTGGCATTGCGGATTGGGGATTGGAAATCGACCAATAAGTCACAGCAGATCTGGAATGAGATCGTAAATCATTATCACACTATGAATTGAAATTCAAAGATGAATTTGGATATCAGATCGGAATATGGAGTTTAACTAATCAACATTTTGCAGACTACGGTTGGTAATAGGTAAGGTTAAAATTTAGACTTCATTCTATTTTTTTGATATTTTCACAATATATTCTGTCAAATAAATACTGGGAATTGTCCATTTCAAAAGCCCGCATAAAATTGTTTGCTGTAAGTTGATACCAATGTACCTCATTGTCACGTAGAGTTTTGGCGCCAACTAGTTTGTTTACAACTGTTGGTTTTGTTAATCCACCTCAAGTGTACTCTGCGATTTTTTAAATGGATAAAAATATAGAATGAAGAATTTGCCTTAAATGTTATGTTGCTAACGAAATTTCTTGTGCTGAGTCGTTAAAAATGTTGGAGAACACAGCCTACGATGTGTCAGCTTTATCGAAAACACGAACATACAAGTGGTACAAAGTATTCAAAGAAAGCCGAGTAGTGGTTGAAGATTTGTCTCGTTCCGGCCAACCTTCAACGTCTTTGACTGACGAAAACATCGACAAAGTGAAGGAAATGCTGATGGAAAATTGTCATTCAAATTCAAATTCTTAAAAGATATGGCTCAGGATCTGGACATGTTTCACGAATCTGTTCGCACCATTTTAGTTCATATTTTGGGCATGAGACGCCTCGTGGCACAGCTTGTTTCGAAGGAGCTGAATTTTCTTCAAGAAGAGCACCGCAAACAGATTGCTGAAGATATGCTTGAACGAACTAATTTGGACTCTACATTCATAAAACGCATCATAACAGGACGTGGGTTTATGAATTTGACTTGCAAACCAGCCAAGCTTCGGAATAATATTTCAATAACGAGCCAAAATCGAAAAAACCACGTCAAAGTCGCTCGGAAATCAAAGTTATGTTAAATGTTTTTTTGACTATCGTAGTGTTGTCCATTCGGAATATCTTCCGGAGGGGCAAACAGTCAACAAACAATATTATCTGGGCGTTATGAAGCGTTTAAGATAGAATGTGTGCCGGAAAAGGCCAGATTTGTGGAAAAACAGTTCTTATATTTTGCACCACGATAATACGCCATCCTACACATTGACTCTTGTACGCAATTTTTTTATCAAAAACTTAACGAATGTTATCAACCAAGCACCGTATTCGCCAGATATGGTCCTGTATGACTTTTTTCTGTTTCCTAAACTCAAATCACCATTTCATGAAAGACGTTTTGAGTCCATTGAAGTCATGAAATAAAATTCGCAGAAGAAGCTGCAGGCCATACCGAAAGGTGCTTATAAGAAATGTTTCGACGGCTGGATTATTTGTTGACATAAGTATATCGCATTAATTGGGATCTATTTTGAAGGCGACAAAATGAATTTGGATGATTTACCAATATTTGGTATTTTATTGAACAATTCCCAGTATTTGGCAGAATGTGTAAGCCAATAGCTACCGAGTATGTCCGTGAGTCTAGTGTAGACTGTGATATAATAATTGTACTGTGTTGATGTAATAAATATACTATGTACAAATGCTCCTAAGAATAAGAAAATTCTATACATATAACAAAACTTGTTCACGATAAATGACACATTTGAAAAGGATCGTATATTTCTAACCGTAAAGAAAATTTATTGATAATTTGTGCATGCCACCGTGAAATTAATTAGAAGCGTGATTGTTTTTAATAATATTCATTTCTTACTTACTAAATTTGTTTGGGTCTTCGAAAACTAATTCTAGAAAGAGGTTAAGCCCGTATCAGACTATGGATTAGGAATTGTGATTGAATTGAATTTGGCCAATCGGTGTAAAGTTAACTGAATTCAAATTTAATAAAATTTTGTGAACTTTACACTGATTGATCAAATTTCAATTCAATCTCAATCTCTAATCTGTAGTCTGATACAGGCTTTACGATGTATGCCTCTCTTTTTTTCTTCATAAAAGATAAGGACTCATCCATATAGGTTTTCTCTGCGTTTTTATCCTTTTCTGATATTATTAATAGCAAGAGGAAAATATTAATATTTCATTATTTAATGATATTTCGATTAATTTTTTTCTTCGTGTCATTTTTTATATTTATGGATGTCATTTTTTATATTTGTGGATCCAGAATAACTCAATCACAATCCAGATCGCAATTATCATGTGATTGGACATCCACAATCCTCAATCTGCAATTCCAATCTCCAATCCATAGTCTGATACGGGTTTAATAGTAGCAGTTACAAGCTCCACGAATACCCAGAACTGCACAACGTTGTATGTTACAGCTCGTGCACATGAATACCATATAATACGAGTACATCGTATTTATCATTTTACTATTATTCCCGTATATAATGGACAGTTGCGTGGAAATAAAGCTACGGTATATTGAAACTGAAGACGAGCTTAAAGTGATATTGGACTTAATCTAAAAAAATGTTTAACTTAACTCAAAGAAGACAAGAAGAAGAAACAAAACGACGGTACAACGTAGTAATGTAGAAGCAACCAATCAGCACATAAAACTTGCATGATAGAAAAAAACGGAGTAACGCTAATTGATTGCTTCTTTGACGCATATTCCGCAGTTCTATTACGCACCGTGTAATTTCACCCTAAGACAAAATATACTTGTCTCCTTCTAACTTATTAAACCAGTGCAGCAGTGCAGTTAAAAAGAATAGACCAAAAGCTAACACGCGCTAATGCCGTGCTTGATTCTTAGATATAATCAATAGTATCTCCCCGAACGCACCCAGAGAGTCTATGCTTGAACAACGACAGTGACGTAAAGCCGATATCAGACTAAGGATTGGAGGTTGCGATTGAATTGAAATTTAAACAATCGGTGCAAAGTTCACTAAATTTCACTAAACTTGTGTTCAGTTAACTTTGTACTGATTGGCCAAATTTAATCTCAATTTCAATCCCCAATCCGTAGTCTGATACGGACTTCACATCTTCTAAAAAATATGCTTTGGTGTAGTACTTTCCGTGCACTAGTGCAGAAAGTTTGGCTGAAAGACTAAACCTATTCGTCGAAGATATAAAAGAAGGAGAAAAATACAAATTTGCATAGAAAGTAAGAAAGAGAATAGAGAAAAAGTATGTAGAAAAAAATCCGATACCATCTTATTTGGGAATATAATAGGTTAGCCGCAACTAGGGGAATTTCATTTGCGTCAGTAATAATGCCGATTGGCAAGTTAGGAGAACGAGAGAAGAGGCGTTGATTTAAGGCAAAGTATATTTTGAAAACCGTAAAAGTGCACACGCTCGCGTATCGATCCCGTTCGCTCCAGAGCTGGACGATACGTCTGGTTCCGATTACATTGCACACATACATTTATGCAATCTGTGTAACTCAACGAACTGGTAGACGGAGGATGACGTTGGTTATGTCGAGTGAAAACAAATAAACCACTAATGTAAGCGGTAAGTAAGGCGGGATCTGAACGATCAGAAGTGTCAGAGATATTTCCTGTTTTGTAGCGTCGAATGAATGATTATGCTCACATTTAGTATCATATGTGCAAAATGTAGTGTGATACGGTCACAAATGATAGATCTACTTAATAACTTCACTTATTCACTTGCAGGAACGACTCTGTTGGAATTCTTCTGGGAAAGCTATTCGCTCGCACTACCGACAGAAAGATCAATATAAATGTAGGATGGTAATAGTGGCAGTGGCAGGTGTAACATTCCCTGCATAGAACTTCCGAACAATGTCTGAGGATTCTAAGATGGGCCTATTTGGCTCAAAAGACAGAAATCAAGAGCAGAAAGAAAAATCTTCCAAAGATAATTCACCGATGCATTATGCTCCATATTGCATTGACAGCGACACAGAGACATATGATACCGAGGCATTGAGCGTCATGGATATCAATGATATTATCGGTGTACAATCTGGTGAACAGGTCGGTGATTCCACTTTAGAAAGCGAGATTGCAGCACTTTCGCAAATCATTACAGATTCCAAGGTAGAATCGTCTCAACACTCAACGGATCTTAAGCAGGAGATGCAACAAAGTTCATCCAATATACTTAGCTCTACCTCTGATATCATTTGTCCAGCAAATGATGACAATATTATAAGTATTGTTGATACTAACGAATTGAACGCTATGACTAAGGAACATACTGTGGCCAGCATTCTGGAAACTCAAGAAGACACGATCATTCACACTCATGAAAATGAAGTACACAAAGATTCGTCATTGGTTGTCGCAGTTAACAGTATTTCCAAAAGTGTGAAATTGGATTCTATTAAATATAGCAAAGCTTCTGATGTAGGTGCTAAAGATATAATTGATGATGCATCTGTAACTTGTACGTCGTCTTCCACTGATAAGCCATGTATTGAGACTGATTTATCGAATGCTGTGTTAGCTGATACTGTTCAAGAAGTTGTCCAAAGCAAGCAACAAACAAATGCGACTTCTTCCATGGATTGTGAGGAAGATACAGTTGAGAAGGTGGAAAGCAAATCTGTCAGTGATGCAACTGAAAGCCAGGACAAAGTGTTGAAGTCCAAAAGTGATGTAAAGCCTGTAGTGACAGTTGGTAGTATTAGCAAAAGTTTACAATTGATAGGAGAGGCATATTTATCGGAGGATTCTGAAGAGACCAGCATGCATGACAGTGACTCACCAAAAAATACTTTGTTGCTTTCTATTGGCAAAGAAACTCCATCATTTAATATCACTATGATAGGTCACGATGAGGACAGTTCCACTGTAACTAAAGTAATTGATACGTCGAAACAAAATGTAGAAAAATCTAAGTCAAATGACAGTACTAATATGCCTGTTCCAGATAAATCTGAAATAAAAATAGAAGAATCTAATATAGAAATAAAAGATGTCATTAACAAGGAAACGGAAGATCTGAGTGCAAAAGTTGGAGATCCGGAAGATTCTAGTCAAGATAAAACATTACAACAAGATAACTCGGTGTTAAATGAAACAGCAGAGAGTCTCGATAACAAAAAATCAAATAACACTCATGAACAAACGGAAGATAGCACAGAAGTAGGTAGAAGCATGACCGAAGAAACATCATCGGAATGTCAATCGTCCAGCGAAGCTTGTGCAGAAACGGAGGATGCATCTGTAAAAGTATCTACTGCGTTGCCTAAAGAAGCACCACAAAATATGGGAGAAAATCAAGAGAAATCGAAAGTTGAAAATATCAAATCGGAGTCAAATATGTCGGCGCTTATCTCTGAAACAGAGAAGCAAGATAGTCCTATGGCTCCTGATGGAAATGAATCGTCAGACACTAAGGAGAAAAATGAAAATTGTTCTGTTATTGATAATAATGCGGAAGACCTTGTGGAGGATATATTTAAAAACGGGAATAAGAATGTCCTTTCAGAACTCGCAAATAATACTCTGAATTCTATACCAACTGAGATATCCGATGAGAAATCATGTATGTCAGAATCGTTATGTAAGAGTAGTTTGTCGCAGGAATTCGACACTGCCGTTGAAAATTCTCAGATAACGCAGGAGGCTGTTTCAATAGAAACAGCACAGATAGATCTCGAGCCAGCTGCTGTGATCGGTGATAATCAGGATAATGTAAACTCAAACGTCGATGCGAATGAAACGTTAACGCTAATGAACAGTACATCTAAGGTTGCATCAAGCACAACCAAGGACGAATTAGACGTAGAGCAAAGCACAGTATCATTGATTCATGAAAATATCGAAGAAACAGAGACTAAAGCCACGGATAATGTGCAATCCGTAAGTAGTCATTCGCTGAATAAACAAGATTGTATTACGACTTTACAGTCCACAAATTCGTTAACACAAAATGACGCAAATGAAACCGATATCAATATTTCTAAGGATACATTAATTAACGTGGAAGAAAATCATACTGAACCGTTAGTCCCGGACGAGCCTGAAGAATCCGTCGAACAACTTCCACCCGCATCAGAAAAGTCCGAAGTCTGTGAAATTAACGATGAAATTATCTCCGATAAACCTGAAGAACCACCCGGAGATCTCACTCCAGTGTCTGACAAGACGAGCAATGCAATCGAAAATCTAGAGGTGCCGTTACTTGCAGTTGAGAAAATAGTTGAGAAGGCAGCTGAGAAGATGGAGGATTTGGAGGTGAAACCGGAAACAACGTTCTCGATCGTGCGCGAAGATGAAACATCGTCCGCGGAAAAGACATCTACAGAAGAAATACCTCTCCCACAGCAAATGCTCGACCAACCAGAATTACACGCGCAAAATGAAGAAATTGATATCGGTTCTGTTGCGCAAACGAAAAGTAAATCACCCGAGCAAAGTGTTGTTTCCCCCAAAGTGTTATCGGAGAATGATACAAATCTGTCATTGACTGATAATTCGCAAGTTATGGAAGATGATGTAACGAGTTCTTTGCGTAGCACATTGCAGGAAGAAAACAAAACCGAGGGAAATGTTGCCGTTAAGATTACGCCGAACGAAGAGGAAGCCGAAAAAGGGGAGATCTTAGTGTCAAGCTCAACCGAAGAAAAAATGAAAGATAAAGAACCTATCAAGGAGAGGGAAGAAGAAGCTCTCGACATAAATCAAATTGTGGAATCAAAAACTCCAGTGTCTGATATCCAAATCATAAGCACTTCAGATGAAAACTTACAGGACAACGAAGAGATGCGTGATGAAGGTACGACAATACTCGAGAAGGACTCGACAATCGATGTCGATGTAACGTCAACAATCGAGGAGAAGAATATCGAAGTTAAAAAGTCTGTCGACTTGAAGAACGTGCAATCGAGCGACATTAGCCCTCCGACATTACAAAAAAGTTCAGAGAGAACAGTCGAGACACATTGTGAAGATACTGACACGAAAAGTGATCTCAAGGACGTTGAAAGCAATTCGGAGAACACGAACGGTGCCGTAGAAATGTTGCCTAAGATGCAATCTTCGAAAGACGCAACAAATCCGTTGACAAGCATGCTGAGCGATGACACCGAGATGACCGACGCGAAGTGTATAATGGAAATCGAAGAAACGGCGGAAGAAGCTGAAGCGAACGCGTTGCCAGTTGCCGCGGATTTGCCATTGGAAGCAAATATCGAAAAGTTAGCCGAGAAACTGTCTCAAGAGTCGGTATGTATAGACGATACGATTGCTACGCAAAATATCGACTCTCTGGAGAGACTTTTAGACCTGGACCTCATGCCTGACAGCGAGAATCCATCGTCGAAGAACGCGAAAACCAAGGAAAAGACTCCGGAAGAAACAGCAAGTAAGGTAGACGATATGGATCTCTTATTGGATCAGGCGAATCAGAGCGAGGCAAGCCTGACGCAAAATTCAGACTATATAGCGAACGTGATCAGCAGTTGCTTGACGAACAGAGACGGCGAAGAAGCAAGCGAGGCTGTGGCTGAGCAGCCGATCAACGATGAGATTCTCGGGAACGAGGCTACTGAATCGTCGAAAATGAACGAAGATGTGAGCACGGAGCCGGCGAGTGAGAACGTGGACGACGAGAAGATGGAGGAAGATCCTCTCAGGACGGAAGAAGATCCTTTCAAGACGGAGGAAGATTCTTTCAGGATGGAGGAAGATCCTCTCAGAATAGAGGAGGAGGATCCTCTCAGGACGGAGGAGGATCCCCTCAGGACAGAAGAGGATCCTCTCAGGACGGAAGATGATCCTCTCAAGACGGAGGATAATTCGGAGCGGAACGATTTGGACGCGGAGTTCGGAGACAACCGGCTGGAGTCGGTGGGCGACTTGGAGGAGGCCGAGGGCAAGCTGGAATTGCCGCAGGACATGCTGCTGGATGGTGTGGTGTCGCAGGAGAATCTCGCCGACATGCCGACCGTTATCGAGAACTCGCAGTCGAGCTCGGAGATCTCCGAACTGGAATCCGCGGTGAAGTTTCTGCAAGAGTCCGAGGAGCAAACAATAGACTCGCCGTTGGTGCTCTCACCGAAAATGGTGGAGAGCGTCGTCGAGGATATTGCTAAGCAAGCGAACGCAGAGCTCTATGCGATGCCCGACGAGGCGGATAATTACGTGCAGGCCGAGTCCGAGTTGGCGTCGCGCATCTCCATCTCTATCTCCGAAGCCGAAATCATATCAGAGGCCGCGAAGCTGGAGAACGAGCGGAAGTTTGCAGCGCAGATGAAAAACATTGCCAGTGGAAGCGACGTGTCGACGGAGAAGGACGTCGAGAAGGCGGAGTTGGTAGAGAGCGAAAAAGTCGAGCCGGACAAGCAGAAGACGGAGAATCGAACGTATTCCAAGTCTTCCGGCGACCTTGCTCCTGCCACGGCTGATTCTCCGACAAGCGTGCCAACGACGAAGAATTCGCACGAGAGGAAAAAGGACATGCCCGACGTCAGGTCGATGTCGGACGAGTGTATCCTGAAGGCGTGCGACCTCATCCCGCGAGTCTCCATATTGGAAGAGCGGCTGAAGGAGCCTCCTAAGATTGAAATACCCGTGTCAGACTCGACCAAGGTGTTGGAGTCCAACAGCATCAGTCCCAACGATAATCTGCTCATACCGAAGGACTCCAGAGCCATGATGTATTCGAAGATGCTGGAGTCGCCCAAGTCGGACAGGACTGTTGAGCCGAAGAGCGTGGAGACGCCGCGCAAAGACCCCGAGAAGCACGACTTCGAGAACGTGGGTTCGCCGCGGATAATCCTGAAAATTGCCAAATCCGCAATCGCGGACTGCGGCGAACCTAGGTCGCCGAAGAGCCCGAAAATCCGGTCGGCCGCGAACTCGCCGAATCCGGAGGACAGCCCGGGCCAGAAACTGGGTAAGATCAAACTGAAGCTGTCGAAGGGCGGCCATCCTTCCATCATATCGAACGAAAACTTTGAAGAGGCCGTCACCGGCCAATGGCACACCGACAGCGCATCGTCCTTGTCTCCCATCGGTATGAAGATCAAGCTGTCGAAGACCGGCGACGCTTCCATTGTGGGCGCGACGTCGGAGAAGCACGAGAGTGGCGGTCTGGACGACTCGAAGGAACCGAGCAAGTACAAGTTCGAGGAACCGAAGAGGACGGACTCGCCGATCGGCATGAAGATCAAGTTGTCCAAGTCCGGCGACTCAGCGTCGATCGTGCAACAGGATACCAAAGAGGTCCTCGGCAAGCATAAAGACAAGCTGGAGATACCGCAGGACAGCCCGAAGAGAACGGAGTCGCCGATCGGCATGAAGATCAAGCTCTCCAAAACCGGCGACGCTTCCATCATCCAGAGCGACTGGCAGGAAAACACGGAGGAGCACAAGGAGGCCGCACTGAAACGCACCGACTCTCCGATCGGCATGAAAATCAAACTGTCGAAGACCGGCGACGCCTCCATCGTCTCCCCGTCGGATCCTGTCGCGGACGACGCGAAGACGAAGGAGAAGCAGCAGGACTATACTGCCGAGCTGAGGACGGAGTCTCCGATCGGTATGAAAATCAAACTGACCAAGGGCAAAGGAGGCGCGGCCTCCATCATCTCCGTGGACAACGTCGAGGACACGAGGGAGAAACTGGAGGTGCCTGAACCGCCCAAACGTACGGAATCGCCGCTCGGTATGAAGATCAAGTTGTCCAAGAGCGGCGATGCGTCCATCATACACTCCGAGGTGTCGGACGACCTGAAGGAGGCCAGGCACAGAGAGAAGGCCGAGGCCGCCGTGCAAGACAAACCGGCGGAGCCTACCGGAATCAAGATCAAGGTGACCAAGTCGGGCGAGACGTCGACGTCGATCCTGTTGCCGGACGTCCTCGAGGAACAGGACGCGTGCTCCTCTTCCTCTTCCTCCGTTGGTGTGAAAATCAAAATGTCCAAGTCGGGAGACGCGTCGGTGGTGACGTGCACTGGCAAGATGGAGCAAGCTGAGGACTCTAGACTGCGGGAAGCTGCAGCGGAGGCGCCTAAGAGGACGGAATCTCCGCTCGGCATGAAGATTAAACTGTCCAAGACCGGCGACGCGTCCATCGTGCCGAACGAGGCCGTCGCCGCGGCCGGTGAGGACGGTCATCAGACTAAGACGACGCGCACGTCCGACGCGGAACACCCAGTCAAGGGCGATTCAAGCCTTGGCATGAAGATCAAGCTTTTCAAGACGGGCGACGCCTCGGTGGTGACCGAGCCCGCCGAGGCGGGCAGGAAGGACAAGCAACAGAGACGCAACAAGGACACCACTGAGTCGCCCTTGGAGATGAAGATCAAATTGTCCAAGACTGGTCATCCCACCATTGTGACGTGCGACAGTCACGAGACTCAAGGATCCTCCGCGCACAACAAGGTCGGCAAGGAGTCGCCGGCTGTCGGCTCACCGGACTCTGCGCTTGCGTCTTTCTCTCAGAGATACGCGGATCACCATGTCGCTCATGTGGCACACACCAAGGACTCTCCTTCCCCGTTGAAGATTCTCAAGGCCAGCGGCGGCGCCGGCCACCCGTCCATCCTACAGAGCGCTCGGTCTGAGCTCACCATCGAGCCGGTGACGCCGATGCAGATACAGAGCAGAAAGGCGGCGGAGAGCGCGCTCGAGATGTCAGCCAAGCGCAAGGACATCACGATCTCGCCGGTCGATAACAAGAAGTCGAAGCTGGAGGCGCAGCTGTCGCAAATGCTGCCGGAGGTCACTATTCAGCCGGTGATGTGCCGGGATCAGCAGAAGCAGCAGCAGCAGCAACAACAGCAGCAGCAGCAGCTGCTGTTCGACCCGAAGACCAGTCTGATCAGCCGGCAGCAGATGAACGTGATCAGTCAAGAGATCAGTATCACGCAGGTGCGGCCGACGAAAGCGCCGTCGGAAGCCGCCTCTATGAGCGACAAGCTTAAGGATCTTCTGACTAAGAACACGATCAGCTCGCCGGGCGGATCGGACTGCGAGATTATCGAGCATCGTCCTGAGCTGATAATCGTTAACGAGAATTCCAACTCTAGCCAGGACGTCGTGATCATTGAAGAGGTGACTCCCAGCAGAATGACCGATATCAAGGTGCCAAAGAAGAGGGGCAGGCCTCGAAGAAACCCGTTGGCGCAGGCGGCCGCGCAGATGCTGATACCCAGGGACCCCTTGTCTCTGGACGAGATGCAGCCAGTTCCGCAAGTCGAGCAGCGGGAGAATGAGAGGCCCAAGAGAACGTGCAGGAACCAAAAAAGTTACGCCCCGCCTAAGAGAGGCAGAGGACGAGGTTTGTTGTCTTCTTATCGGTTAATTTCTTTTGCGCGTGTTATAGGGTGTTTCGATATCCCCTAAAAGGAAGGTGAGGCCAAAAAAGTACTTTTCGCGAATAAAATGATAACTGTTGTACATTAAAATTTGAAATTTCAAGAATGTCTAATAGAAAGACATATTCTGGAGTCATATTCTAGTTTTCGTCTCAAGAAAAGCTGGAGATTGAAAGTAAGTAAATAAGGGTAGCTACCTTTATTTTGCCCATAATTTTTTTGTTCTTGTAAATTTGCTCACTCCGCTCTCATTGTAATTCTTAAATATTTTTTTTAGAAAAAAGGTATTCTTGTTTGAAGTCACTAGGAACAATCCTTTTCGAGATATTTCGATACACCCTTTACGATACATGAACGTAAAAACCGAAATAAATCGAATATAATATCTAATATCTCAAAAATATCTCGAAAACAGTTGTTACATTTCGGATACGGAGCATTTCCGTACTCATGTTTACAGGGACCTCTTTCTTCGTTTTAACTTGGGAAATTTTTTCTTAAATTTTGCTTAACATCTATTTGAAACACTATATTTAGTCGAGTAATGTTACTTCAACGAAACTTTAACGCTTCCTCTGTTCCTGCGTCTCTAGGTCGCGGTAAACGGAAATTGGACAATGTGGATATTTCGGCCGGCAAGAAGTCTCGAATAGATCAGGACCTGTCCGCTATAGAGGCATCGACGATGGCCGTCATCACCATTGACGAGACACCGACACCAGAGGATCCGCTCCGGAAATCGGAACTATACAAGGCATTGAAACAGCCTATATCAGATATCAAAGGCATGAATTCTGCCTCTGGTAAGGGGAAGAGGGAGTCCAAAGTCGCGGAAGCCTCCACGATCGCGCTACAATTGGAGTCTACCAGATCGTCGTGCGACGTCATGCAGGACTCGCCAAAACCGTCCACTAGTCGAGCGGCCATGGGTTCGGCGATGGCATTGGACTCGAAAGACGGTGAACAACAAAAGAGACCGGTCATGGAGATCGTTTCTGAGAAAATACAGAAGACGACAGCGAAGCAGCAAGCTGAGAATAAAGGTAGGATCTCGTCGGATGTGCCGAGAACATCCGAGATCAAAGAAATACCTACACCACCCGGACCCTCGAACTGGTTGACGCCAACGTCGAAGAAGCAAGTGGATGCGGGCCTCAGGAGCGGCGAAACGGTATCGACGGTGCAAGTGATCGACGAGGAGACGAGGATGAGCGCCGAGTCCGGCTCCAGGTCGCAGACACCAGCTAGGAATATACCAGCGCCTGGTATGCACTCTTTTTCACATGAATATCATTGCTTTATATACATGAATAAAGAATTATGTATTATATATACACATATATGTAAATATAAAGATAGATATATATAAAGAAGAATATATATATATATATATACATTTATATGAACAATATTAAAATATATAAATATGTACGATATTGATAATGATGATAGCACCATTATTATTGATATCGTAATTTAATGGCAGGAAAGTCACTTGTCGTCTTAAATGTTTGCTTTATATATTAACATACACATATATACAATACAAAAGTTTTCTGTTAAAATAGGTATTTCAATACGATTCTCCATTATTTGTTACAATTTGTCAATATCAGAAATAATGTACTTGATTTCCTGCAATTTAACTATATCATTGTTTTGAAATGTCTCAGCTTTGATACATGATCATGCTAAAAATTACCGGTTATATCCTATTAATAATGTTCGTTGATAAATAGAAATAATATCAACATTGTCAGTTTAAGTAAATATATTTCTATCCTCATCATTGAACAGCTGAGTCGGTTGACTTGGGTATATTGGTACACATCCAACTCTAAGGGGACTAAAAATAGACCTTTTCTTGTAGCATAAGATGTCTCTCAAGTGACTTAATACGAAATTGTTGTAATGACGTGCTGAAATGCGAGACGATTGCACACCGATTCTTTTATTTGCAATATGTGTCGTGATTATGCTGTGCCTGGCAGCGCTAAAAACGCTCGTACTGATTCGTATATCGTTTATAAATATTTATTAACAACACATATTTGTGATTTTCGAGTCCAATGTATGTGATTTTTAAAGATAAGTGTGTAATATGAGTGAGTACGGTGTAATATTTTTTTATTGAAGTTTCTTCGATAAAGAATATTTGTCACGCTTAGAATTCAGCGAACGTGGACCAAGAGAGAATAATGAAAAATTATCAAGAATATGATAATTTAGGTAATTTGTTAACGACATCAATGAAGTACGAATTTCCTGTTTTTGACTGTTTGTGAACAATATCCTGTTTGTGAACAATAATCTAATAATTTTGATATAAAAGTATACTTACTTAGAAAGTACAATGTCTGAAGTCGGAATATAAGATGTCTTTAAGATATTTTTAAGACATCTTAGATGCGTCGAAACATAAGACATTTCAAAGACGTCTTATGTCCCGATTTTAGATACTGTACTGTCTGACAAGGCAAACAAATAAAAGATCATCTATTTATTTTATATAAGGCGTACTTGAAACATTTCTAATTTCCATACATTGATTAATATATGCTTATACCAAGGATGTGTTGGTTATGTTTACGTAGAAATTAATTTTTGGCAATCGGCATTACAGTCTCAGAGACAACGATAAATGAAGAATCTCAAGGTAGTGTCCTGAGTACAGCTACGACGGAATCCGAAAAGGTCAAAGTCAAGAATCGAAGGATGGAAATCAACTTCGATCCTGACGAGGGACCTTTTACTGTTGATAAAATAGCGGAGTACGAATGGCCATTGGAGAGGAAAGGTGAAACCTTCATGATACAGGAGCAGATATCTCAGTATCTCGGCGTGAAATCTTTTAAGCGTAAATATCCTGACCTCAAGCGCAGAATGGTCGATATGGAGGAGAGAAATTATCTGAGGGAAAATAGACTAGTCAGCGAAGCGATGTGTGACATGGGTAAAGTCCGTTGTCTTTTTATGAGTCTTAGAAAAAAAGGAAAGAATATAACTTCAGTCGTGTTGTAGAAACATTCCTCGATTCGATTACCACGCATTCATCTCATCACGCTGTATTGTTATAGGACTAACTGCAGTGTGCAGTTCAGAAGTGCTGGACGTGATGTGCAGTGACTTTCCGGATCAGTACGAGGAATATCGTAAGCATATGCGTGAGAAACAGGTAAAGGAACATTCCAAGAAGCAGAAGGAGCTGACAGCCGCGGCGAACGCGGAGAGGAACAGAATAGATCTCGCGGAAATGGCGGTGCAATCCGCGATGACGTGGAACGCTAACCTGAACAAAGCCCGCAAGGAGAACCGCAAGTACTGCTTAGATCTGCAGACTTTTACGATTCACGTGCCAAAGAAGCCACAAAAAATCGATCCGGAACACAAAACAAGTCATTATCCGGTTGCCCTGATACCGGGCCAGTATACCGATTATTATCGGGAATATACGTCGGCGGAACTGAGGTACTATCCCCTCAACACCGTCCTGTACGGACCTACACGGCCTAACGAACGCAAACTCGACAGTCAGTCGGAAGGATCTCAAAGCGACAGCGATAGTGAATCGTCTTCCGATGACTCTAGGTTAGTGACGATGTCACGAAGTTTTGTAATCCTTCTTTTTAACCGATTTTTGAAAATTGATTTCTTTCACGTTGAAATGCGCTAGCAATTTCTAAAGTATAAACAATTGAATTAATTTTAGAGTTTTTATTTTTGGTTCTTCTTTCTCAGCTATCTATGTTCCTATTTCCCCTTTCTTTCTCTTCCCTTTCTTTCTTTCTTTATTTTTGACTAATTCGTCAGGATACAATAATGTTTAAAACATAGATTATCTTATGTGAATATAGTTCATCATCTAGTGAAGGCACACAAGATACGGAAGGATCTCAATCGACCATGGACGATGTTGACATGGAGATAGTCACTCAAAAAGACGACGTAAAATTGAAATGCAAGATGTGTCTTAAGATTCTGAATAAACACAATAAAAATGAAATATTAATACAATGTGGCACTTGCAATGGAAACGGTAAAGATCGTGCGTTACATACGATTGCTTTTTTTCTAGAATCAATTAAGATAATTTACTAAATGGTGATGTTGTGCTTTCAGTTCATCCATCTTGTATAGATTTAACTCTGGATATGGTTCCTCACATTCAATCGTACGCTTGGCAATGCACCGATTGTAAAACGTGCGCGCAATGTCACGATCCCGCGGATGAGGATAAAATGCTCTTCTGTGATATGTGCGATCGAGGGTAAGTCACGCACACACATGCACAGTAGAAATGTGGGGATTAAGGATATTTCATGTGAAATCGAATCAAATTTTATTTTTTATTTTCAAATCCGATTCGAATCAACGAAATTTCGCCCAAATCGAATAATTGAAACATAACTTTTAATTAACAAGATAATCATTGAATTCAACATGCAGGCAGTGAGAGAAAACTTTGGTATGAGAGAGATAATATCGATCATGTGGTATGTCAACTCATAAAAAAAATAAAATATGTGTATATTTAGATATTTAGAAAATAAAATTGATATTGATGAGATATTTCTTACTTAGGGTGGCAGTAATTGAAACAGTCAGATGAAAGATCGTAAATCAGTTGTACTAATGTACTTTGAAGAACGTTGACATTATCGACCGTTTACAATTAATATAGAAATTGAATGATTTTAGAAATATAGTTTAATAAAAATATACAATATATTACGCCTCGTAGATATATGTGTACATCTACGAGATTTACATCAAAATAATTATACATTCTAAAATTAATAGTGTGATATATGCTAAAGGAGGAGGGTCAATAAGGCCGTTTTTGTGCCTCCTCCCGATTTCCATTAAACAATTTTTTTTTGTATTATATGATCATTAGGAATGGCAAAAATAATTATTAGATGAGAAAAACTTGACCCATAAAGCCATAATTAGTTATTAGTCTAGATATATCACTATAACACCTAATCTTTTTCATGACTAATAAGTGAACTAATAAAATATTATCGTTTATTATATTACTCTGTTATCATATTAATGTCAGTTTAGATCACAATATCTATCATCGTCAAGGTGAATACAGCTTATGGTGAAAAAATGTATATTTTAATTACTCTTGACATATGAGTATTCATAAAATGATGAGGCTCACAAATAGATGATCACTATTAGTTGCTTGTAGATTTAAGCCTCTAGACCAAGTTTCTTAAAATGTCAATGTGTAGTTGACACATCATATAGTAAAAAATAATTTTTTTTTATTATGAGCTGTATTCACCTTCACTTTAGGGACGATAGATATTGTGGTCTAAACTGATGTTAATATGATAGCTGAACGATATAATAAACGAACATGTTTTAGTTTAGTTCACTTAATATGTTTTAGTTTAGTTCATTTAGTCATGAAAAAGGCTTAGGTATCATAGTGATATATCTAGACTAATAATTAATTATGGCTTTATGAATCGAGTTTTGTTTCTTATCCCATGATTATTTTTAACATTCCTAATGATCATATAATACAAAAAAAAATTGTTTAATGGAAATCAGGAGGAGGCACAAAAACGACTTTACTGACCTTCCTCTGATATTTATATTAATACGTTTGCTGCCAACTACGAATATACTCATAATTGATATATGAACCTTACAAGCCAGCTACGAATATACTCGTATATCGATTACCGACCTCCTATGCCAAGTACGAGTTAATCCGTAGTATAAGCACGTTAATTTGGACCCTTATGAATAAAGCAGAGACCCCTTCTGGTGGCTTGGTAGAACAAACTATGCTCGAGGAACGTGGCAGCGAACGTGTTAAATGATTAAAAATTATCACTAATATCAGCATTTTTCAATCACTCACAAATTTGATATCATGAAAATTTATTTAAACACGAAAACTTTAATAGTATCTCTCTTACCGATATCTTGAATTACTGCTCTTAATATTTTGTTATGAGTATCTTTTGTTAAGAGTATATTTTGTTAAGAGTATCTTTTATTAAGAGTATAGCGAATTTTTCAAGTCATGCCAATTCCTGTAAGGCTGGACGTCTTTAACAGTACTTCGTTAGTGCTAATATGCGTGATTCGTATTCGAATCTTCGCGATTTGAAATTCTCGAATTTTGTCAAATTCGATTCGAATTCGAGTTGTCTCTAACGCACACGCACGTGCGCGAAATCGAATTAAAGGATAAAACCACTTTAGAAATTTCGGAAAATCTAAATTTTTTGGCTTTAAAGACATTAGGGTCTTAAAAATAAGAAGTAATAAGTTTTATAACGAGGAAAAATTTTTAAAGTCAGTTTTGAGTGACTTTTGTGCAGCGCGCTTTCTCGAGCAGAAATGTATCTAGATTATGTATGAAGATTAGATTTTAAGACTAGTAGCTAGATAGTAATGACTAGATAAGTTTTTTAACCAGTCACTAGCTCATGACTAGCTAAATATTCCTAATCAATCTTTAATTTTCTAGCCGCTATCTAATTTTCTAGCTGCTATCTAATCATTAGATAGAAACTATAATAGTAGATGGCGTTGTCTTTTTTAAAATATACAGTCTAGCTATTATCTCGCCATTAGCAGGATTATATTAGCACATCGAAATTATGGTTATGTTACAATGTCAAATTCTGTCTAGTCACTAACTAGTATCAATGTGCTGTAAATCCTACATAGACAGTGTCTAGACAAAAAAGATTACACAGTAACGACATTGAAAATCATCAATATATCTTGAATAGAAATTGAGTATCGGGATTGTTCAGTAAGTATTAATTACTAATTACATAGACAAGTAGGTGAAAAAAATTACATACGTGATAGAAAACTATCGTTCTTAATCAATCTTTAAATATTCTTAACCATATATCTGTTATCTAATCGTTAAATTGAAAATATGATAGTAAATATGACGCTGTTTTTTCTAAAACATACAGTCTAGCTATTATCTCGCCACTAGCAGAATTATATTAATCCGCACATCGAAATGATGGTTATATTATAATATCAAACTCTGTATAGTAATTATTTAGTTGCAACATATTATTAATCCTAAATCTCGAAATTAGATGTCAGAACTGTCTAACCATTAGATAGTAAATTTGGGTATAGACAATGATGTAAAATACAAATTTACTATCTAGTAGGTAGACAATTCTGATATTCAATTTCTATTCAGAGTTGCTATGTTGCTACTAGACAGTTACTAGACGGAGTTTGATATTCAATTTCCATTAAGGATTTACCGAGTTTTCTATCTCGTTACTGTGTAAGTTTTTCGTTTAACCATGAGATAGAACTGCGCTGAGTAAAGTATATGTAGCTAATATAAAACATTTATTAGCGACTATGACAGTGGTCTAACGTAAAGTGGGCGACTCAAAAGCCAGAGATCTCAAGTTTAAGTCCAGCAGAGAAAAACGAAATTTTTCCATAGAATTGGATATAATACGTAATCAAGAAGAATTTCAAGAACCAAGCTACATTGGATCACTTCTTGAGAGAAAAAAAATAAATCAAAACTCTGATTTAAGAAAATTATCCAGCCACTAGAAGAAATCCGTGATACAGAAGTTCTAAGATAAGAAAGCTATTTAGGGATTAGATATTCCTGATATAGAGAAAAAGTGAAAGAGAAATCAACGAAAAGAAAAATAAATTTTTCTATTTTATTATATCTAACTACTAGCTAATTCTTCTATTACATTCACTAGGAGAAATGAGCGTTATATTTTTGGCTAGTGGCTACCTGAGATTTTTCGTCTAATGACTGTACTATTTTTTGTCTAGATATTAGCTAATTTTTCTACATATTTTTGTCTAGCTATTAGCTAATTTTTCTACAGTCATCAGAAGAAGTGAGCGTTATATTCCGAGCTAATGGTTAGCTAGTACTACTAGCTAGTAGCGATGTAAATCCCAACTTTTCTGTCATGACTAGACAATTACTAGATTCAATTTCTACTCGGGACTGTGCCGACTTAGGAGTCGACAGTTTCGGCGCGCCGCGCAGCCAGTCAACTCCACAGATACTTTCTACAGTATGTGGTACTACTACGTATTAGTACGGCGCTAGTAGTCTATATTATTTCAAAAATAATAACGTGGCTTCAGTGCAACCGTCGAAATCATGCCGCTTGGATATAATAAGACACTTTGTTTTCTGTTTAGAATATTCGTGAATATTTTGCTTCAATTTTTTATTTCGAACTTTTTAACGATCATGAGTGAAAAGAGAAAGGTATATGCTGGAAGAAAGACTAATACTACAGCTACAAAAAGGAGTAAAATATCAAATAGATGTCCGCAGAATCGATACGAAAAGGAAGAAATTCCAGAACACGTCTGCTCAAAAGTTTAACACATCTAGGAACAACTATGAAATAGAAGTGAATAATGAAATCGGGTATCGTTTGATAAACTTTCTCACTGTTTTTGCTGTTATTGCTGAAGTGGTTGTGTGTAAAAAGTGAGGAAAAGACATAAAATTTAGTGAAGCAAGTGCGGCTTGGGCTTCAAAATTATTGTTTCTTGCAAAAAATGTGGACAAACTGCTGTGCCTAACTGTTTTTATGTCAATTATGGATACGAAGTTAACCGTTGCATAGTTTGCATGGTATACTTAAATTTTGTACTTTTATAGATCTTCCGCTGCCGGTTTTTCAATGATTTTATGATAAAATTATTGCAAACCTCGCTACAGCTACAGCAGCAGTTCGTTTGAAATGCACAAAAAGAGCAGCTGAAGAATAAAAGAGACTTTCTGAAGAAAATGCAGGTCGATGGTCTTATTGTTTCCGGTGACAGATCATGATGGAAAAAAGGATTTTCGTTTTTGTATGGATTAGTGACTCTTATCGGTTGACACACAGGAAAAGTCATCGACATCGTAATAAAATCTAAGTACTGTAAATCCTATGAATTTTGGAGTAAGAAAGAAGGTACAGCTAACTACGATGAATGGGTGGAGACGCATTCAAATGAATGACAAATCAATTATGATGGCTCATTTAGTAAGATGGAAGTTGATTCCGTGATCGAGATATTTCAGCGCTCCGAAACCCTTTACAATGCTAAATACGCTAATTATATCGGCGATGGTAATAGCAAGACCTTCAAAGGAGTTTTAGGTGTTAATCCCTACGAAAATTTTACAGTAAAAAAGAAAGAGTGCATAGATCACACGCAGAAGAGGGGGACGCGTTTGCGAAAAAAAAATCCGAAGGGACTCGGCGGTAAGGGTGAATTTACCGGTAAATTGATTGATGAATTATCAATTTACTATGACTTAGCTATTCGTCGCAATCCTGACTCTATCGAGAAGATGAGAAACGATATATGGGCGACATTATTTTATAAACTTTCAACTGATGCGCAGCCGCAGCATAAGAAATGCCCGGAAGGCGAGCAATCATGGTGCTCGTGATAACGAACAAAAGCTTCCAATACATTATATGAATACGTGCAACCACCTCTTCGCCCAAATGTTTTTGCAGCTATTAAGCCTGTATATGAAGACTTAAGCAGCGATGATTTGCTAAATCGTTGCCTTGGAGAGTACACACAAAACAATAACTAAAGTTATAATAATTGTGTGCATGGCTCCAAAAGCATTCTCGAGCGGCAAAACATTACTTGATATCTCCGCAGATATTGCCACTTACCATTTTAATGATGGATTTAATAATCTAATGGCAAAAATACAAGTATTAGGAGTTGATGTGGATCCAAATTGTTATAACTTCTGTGTAGAAGCTGACGCGCGCCGCGTCAAATTTACAGAACGCAAGATGTCTGATGCCGCAAAAGATGCTCGGAGAGCTTCTAAATCGTCAGAGAAAGAAGAAGAGGAAGCTAATTTGGACCTGGAAGGGCAATTTTATGGAACAGGTATCGCAGAGTGAAAGTACATTGCAAATTTCTTGTGTTAAATAGAAAAAAAAGTTACCGAAAAACTTGAAATGCGTTTTTCTTGAATTCACGTTTTTCAAATCGGCTAGCAGCATAACTCAAACAATTTTTATCCGATTGACTTGAAATTTTAAGGGCATCTTCTTAAATAGATTCTCTAAAGAAGTACATAGGATTTTATAATTACTTTAACATTTTTTGTTATAAACAAATTTATACGAAATTTTTAGTCAAAAAATGAAATTCTTTCTTTATAGCTCCACTTTTACAAATCATCATATTTTTTTCATTTCCCTACGTACTTCTAAAGAAAATCTTATCTAGTTTCTGAAAATTTTTAGTTTTTTGTTCTAGGTGCGACTGTTCAAGAAATCTGCTGTTAGCCGCGAAGGATCTCAAAAAAAGTGACTGCGCACGAGAGGCTGTGCACTCGCCATTTTGGATAAAAAAAATTTTTTAAGAAGATCATTTTACACCCTTTAATATTTGTAGAATAAAGGCCTTAAAAGAGATTTTCGTTTGATTTATTTGTTACCTCAAAAACATCGTTAAAAATCAGGCTTTTTTGTTTCTAAAGTGGTTTTACCTTTTAATTGATTAATTGATCGGGACGAAAATTTCGAATGGATAATATAACTGGCTAACCTTGTATGATTTTGTCTACAGGTACCATATTTATTGTGTCGGCTTACGACGTGTACCACAAGGGAGGTGGCATTGTCAAGAATGCGCCGTGTGCGCAAACTGCGGCTCGAGAGAGCCCGGTGGTGCTAATTCTGATAGAAACAGCGTCGCGCAATGGCAACACGAGTATAAGAAGGGCGAGAAAAATACCCGAGTATATGTCTCTACACTCTGCATACCGTGTTCAAAGTGAGTACACCTTTAAATGGTCATCGCCTCATATATGCTGAAACACGATTGTTTCGAACTATGTTGGGCTTCACAGTTGCTTTAATGATTTTCATCGCTCACACTATAACACTTTATCGACATCCTTTCTTCTTCATTTTGTCTTTTGTTATAGATCTCGACACTCACAGTTTTTGTCTCTCTATCTTATCATTTAGCTATCAGTTAATGTTATTATTAATTAAGAACCACTTAGAGCAGTAAATTCGATCAAATTGTAAATATTTCGATTTATCTTTAATTAACATATATCATATACATATATATAATTAAAATAGAAATTTTAGAATGAATTTATGTTTTTCTGTATATTTTATAATTAAATACGTAACATTACTGTGCGTATAGAGCCTCAGACCTACAGTGCTATCCTGAAAGGTCTTGGGATGTTATATATTAACGGCTAAATGACTTGATGAGAAGTGTATTATCGTGTGAAATATCATTAAATCCCTCTACTGCGTGCTAAGCACTGCTAACATAATATTCCCTTTTACCTGAATTCACTAACCACATGATCTTTATGCGATAACAAGGCTGTGGCGAAAGGGTCGTTATTGCCCACACTGCAGCCGCTGTCATACCGCCCAAAGGCTCGACCTGGAACCGAATCTAGTGCATTGCAGCGCATGCGACAAGTATCTGCACTTAGGTATCGACCCCAAATTTCATATGATTCTGTGAATTAATCGCGATAGAAAGGAAAGAGCTAATTAGAGCCTGGGCGTAAATTCTTGTGAATTTTTGCAAAATATATACGGAAACGCATAAGAGGCTCGCCGAAATGGCTCTTCGATGGCTGCTTTGACAGGCAGATTATGTATAAATGTAAGAAATGTTGATCTTCAATTGAACCCTCGTGATCTATCAAAGAGGATTTAAAGCGGATCTTTTCCAATAGTTTGGAAAAGAAACTGCTTTACTTACAATTATTCTAAGCCTTTACGCGCTCATATAACTACGTTTAGACTGTAATTGGCCCTTTTTACTGTAACTTAAGACCAAAGAGCTTTCTTTCATTTATTCTGTTCTGTCAGTTAACACTTGGAGCGTCACGTGCACGGATCCATGTCAAGGACGTACGCTGAAACGCCGCACGCACGCACGCACGCACGCACGCACGCACGCACGCACGCACGCACGCACGCACGCACGCACGCATACGCACGCACGCACGCATACGCACGTACGCACGCACGCGCGCGCGCGCGCGAATTCATGTATGTAGCGTGCTTGTATTTTAACAGGCAAAAGTCTTAGTAATTATTACATAGGATCCGTATATAATTAGCTTCAATTAACGAAACTCTTGTCGTTGGAAGCTGAGCACACAGATTCATGTAGTAGTTTTCTTTCTCCTCTTTCTCCTAATTAGAGATTGTACTATATATTCATGGGCATTTTATTGTTCGACTCTCTCGACACTCAAAGTGTTAATTCCGTTGCATGTTATGATATAGGAGCATTTGCACGTGCGACCGAATATTATTTAATCATCGCCATCTTAGATAAACCATATCTGAATTATTTATTACTTAATACCTCACACAACATGTATGTCTGAAAGACGTCTTATTGTCTCAAAGACGTCTTTACAACGTCTTGATGTTTTCTAGGACGCATATATATACATTATACTATCTTTTCTATCTTCTTATTTCCTCGCAATATAACAATTATAGATTTTAGTAAATGTCATGATATGTAAAGATATATTCAAGTATTGAAAAAATAATTAACTCCACTATGGTGATTATTTCCACGATAGCATGGTTCGATATATTTCGAAAATTCCCAGACAACACAATGTCCAAAATTGGACATCTTAAAGACGTCTTTTATCACGACATCTTAAACACGACTTTAAGACGTCTAAAAGACATCTCATGTCTCGATTTTAGATATTTGTGCTGTCTGGGTTGTTTTAAGCCGAGAAAATTTTTCTCAAACTAAAACAAAAATTCATCCAAAATCTGGAGATTTCTAATAGATGTCTTATATTGTGATAGATATTTAATATTTGTAGTGAACATATAAATATAAATTTAAACTTGTTATTAATTAAAATAATGTTTGTTCTTCAGCATTAAAAATTCTTCTGAGAAATTCTTGTTAGGCACGCAATGTGTATCGTAATCGTATGTGTATCTTTTCAGATTGCGTGGAGACCAAGGGAACAGCGTTTGATAAGAAAAATTATCTGTGTGACTTCTGTACACTGTCGAATCGTCAGCAAGTGGCAAAACCTATGTCACCGAAGATACTCAAAACGTGAACGTATCATTACGTAAAAATGGGGAGACCAATGAGAGATGTATAATAACGATTAGAAAGAGCGAAATGTAATTATATTATATATTAAGCAGTATATATAGCTCATTTTTATCAGACGACTATATTTACAATTGAGAATGCACGTGAGATTTTCTCCTCAAGTACTTCATATGAGTGCATCATGTTGTATATAGTTACAATATCAGTAATTTAACTCATGACACTAAATTTTTACTATGTGTACGTTCAAGTTAAATATAATGAATAATCTCGTGAAACCATTATACAAAATGGAATACATCAATTGCATCAAAAGTTATGCACATTCGACTTTTAATTCTTTCGCAAATTTGGAGTTAATTTTTGTACTTCGAAGCTGATGGAACATACAATTTTCTTCTCAATGTTAAATATCATGAACATGATGTTAAATATCAAATGAAAATTAAGCATTTTTTATTCAGAATATGTAGGTGATTTGGAAAATCTGTAGGGTAGTTTATGTTTTAAGAATCTACGATCTTTATCTTTCATCTGATAGTACTAACAGAACGAAATTTCATAATCTAGTGACCTCAGATACAACATTTTAAGTTTACAATTCTAACGGACGCTGAAAATCCAATTGCAATTTTTTTTACAATTCATCTTACTATTTATACTCTGCGAAATATATAAACAAAGTATCATCACTACAAAGACTGCAAAATGTTTTTTTAAACTACCGATTTTACTCGCGTTCTTTGCTTCGAATTGCCAGTTCTGCTATTTCCGGAAGGAGATGTGTGTGTACAGTTTAGAGAAGGGAAACGAATAAAGAACGAAACTAAGCGTCGTTTTTCTTAAAAATATATATCACTTTCTTTTTTATTCTCTTCTTTTCATGACATAATCCTCGGATTAGTGCTTTTGTTGCGAGAGTTAGATGCGGATTAACATTCTCTTCTTTCCCCTGTTTTTACATACGTATCGTGACGCAGTATCCACATTTTGAACAGTGCGCTCCATTCTCTTTCACACACACACACACGCGCGCGCGCACACATATACAACATACATACACGCACACATTCTCTCTCTCTCTCTCTCTCTCTTCTCTGTCAATCAATTTTTTCGCTGGAGATTGATTACAATATATTTATAAGATCGTGTTAGATTATGTTGCATTATGTACACACAGGATATACGGCAATTGCGGCCGTTAAAAAAATGAGCAAGTTGTTGCAAAATATAAACTTTGGCATGTCGTTGCATCAACCTTGTATATCAGTGTCAAAGTAGTCTCGTTAATTTGCACTGTAACGCGCCTGTACAGGATACTTCTTTAAAGCAACAATGACATACGCGCAAAAGGTGTGGAGTCGCCGCGCAGCATCTCGCTAAGTGAAATACATAGCTCTTGCAGATCCTTCCCCCTCCTTCTTTTTTTGTATTCTTCTTCGCCTCTATAAATCGCACTATTTCTTCTTCGGCGAAGAAACGATCAGGCGGCGATGCACGATTAATGATCGCAACGTTACCGATAACGTAATCGTGAGAATGAGAAATACTGTCGAGGGGAAGAACGCGATGTATGTGTGCTTCTCGTTCTTTGTCGCGTTGCAATTGTACCGTAATTAAAAAGCGCACGTCTCCTTGCTATAAACGCCCATGCGTGAGGTGTTACGTCGCGATTTCTTCCCCTCGATGTGCTTCCTTTCCTGTTCCCTCCTTTTCCATTTCTTTCTCGTCTAGTTTCTTTAAAATTCGAGTTGAATGTCGAGTGCTGCTAATAAAGTGGTCGTGCGCGATTCGACTTGCTCGGAGAAACGTCACACACACAATTAGAACATTCCTCCGCACGTGGATTATACAACACCGTTAAAAGTAAAACATACTTTGAGCAAAGAGATAAAGATAAAACAAAATGAAACGTAGCGTAACAACAATACGAGTCGTACGCACGTACGTGTATTTTTTCTTCTTTTCACTAACGTGCAATCGCGTTGTTGAAGAGCACTTACGCACTATAACAGGACGGGTTCATAGTTCAGAATTGCACCTGTCCCGCCATTGACTAGTAGTCGGTATACAAGCTAATACAAGGGTCTGTTCTTTCCAGCTGCACTGCCCAGACTTTTCCTACGTATCAAAAACGCGAAACACGTGTAATCCCTAGAATCTGATGGAAACGATAGAAAAGAATTGCGAGAAACGAAACCAGAGTACAGCTGAAAAGAGCAGCGACGCAGCTACGTTATCGGGAAATATTGAGCGAGCAGTAAGGGTATTCCGTATTTCTCGTTAACGTTATATTCGCCGATGTTTTCAAGTATCGAGAAGTATTGCTCATGATAATTAAACGAGAAGCACGGTTGATCGATACAATTTTGTTACACTGTGAGTGGTTAAAATTATAGGTAAAATTATCATAATCATTATACTAATCTAGATAACATTACCGATGATATGCTATAAAACATATAATACATGCACCAAGGATTCTACAGGATCACAGCCGGTGAGTCGATATAAGATCATCGAATCCTGTGGAATTTTTGGTTCTCAATTTTCCTTGTCTCCTAACTTAACTTAAAAATTTTCATTTTCTTTTTCTTTTTTTTTTACCGAATTTTTAGTATTTTTTTAACTTTTTTTTTTAACAGACACACTACCAACAAGTATCGCGTTAATACGGAATACTGCTACTGCCACGTCAAGATCGTCGACTCACGTACGAAACGCGAGGAAGTACTCGGATACCGATACATAAAGCAAAATAGTATCGAGAACAGCGAACCGTTTCGACCACGACCAAGTTCCCCCTTATTATGCGCACACAGGAAAACTTAATGGTGCGTACTTTGGTGCCGTTGTAACGCCGTTTTTCACCATTCGTCACATTCAATCCCGTCGCAACTGTCGAACTAATCGAACAGTGGTGGCTGTGAAAAAGACATGTAGGCGAAGTCGTGCTCTCAAAAAGAGGACATATCCGAAATTTCCATCTCTCGATTCTCTGTTCATATGAACAATGGCTTTTCTAAGTATCTTGGTGGATAAAGTTGTAAAAATTTCACATCTCGTGTATTCTCAGCGAGGTTTTCGAAGCGTTAAATTTGTTATTTTCTTTCTCGCTTCTCAAGTCTCTCTCTCTCGGTCTGTCGATTATCGTAACTTTGAAACACGCAAATCTCTTTCTCAGCTTCTTGCGTTTTTGGGAATACAGGTATACAATCGTATGTATTTTATTCAACTTATTCCTATGTATCGAACGTTTTCTTGAAATCAGCAAACGATAAAATACATGAACAATGTGGAAGTGTATCTCCTCTTACAAAATAGCATATCTGCTCGCTTTTTCTCAGTCACCGCTACGATTACGTCCGAACGACGGGAACGAATTGCCGAGAGATTTACCACACAGATTCAAATCCCTGTGCGACTTTATCCTAAATGCGCGCTTCAATCCTGACGAATAATTGACAATGTAAAAAAACAATTTGAGTATTTACTCGTGTCTAATGCCACATATAGACAAGAAAGTGTTGAAATTGTGTAAGTGAGTAGCCGGTACAATAGTAATCACTAAATTCGCTGTAGAAAACTTAGACAGGACACTGTGGACGAGGTTCGGGCCCGGCGAGCTGCCAACCTTATAAAATACTCGCAGGTTACACGTCGGATTCGCGCTCTGCGAGCCTTTCGTAAGCTTGCATAAAACGTACTCAAACGCTTCCATCAGTTCGTTCTCAGTCAGTTCCGTGGATGGCAAACATGCCTCTGTAGCTATATTGCCAGTCGAATTGGACGAACCTGTTGAAAAAGAAATAGAGGAAAGTTTCGTTACCGTTTCGAAATTCTCGGTACTTCGGAAATATTCCTTTTTTAGCATTTGTCAAATATTTGCGGTGAATATCTCGTCGAAATGATTTTTTTGGGGAGGGGAGAGGGGATACGACTTATCGAGTGGACAAATGATTCACCGGGAGAAACTTACGGGTACACATGTAACACACAATCGCTGAAACGGTGTTTTCGTAATTCCACCTACGCCTAATGGCCACCTTAAAATTGCCCACGCATCTTCCCGTTTCTTCGTCTACAATCAGGACATTATTTATATTACACATAACGATTCATTGAGAGAGTCGTACCTAGCAAACATAATGTAACTTGTTGTGATTTCCTATTCAACAATGTAATAATATTATTTACACGCATATAACACGCGTTATATAGCAGTTACATTGCTGAGTAAGAAATTATAACAAGTATATTATATGTTACATTATGTTTGTTAGGTAATGACTGTATAATCGGTATGATCTCCACCTTGTAAACCCCTTCTACATAGCTCGCAGAACACAAGACGCAGGTCATAAGTACAGACGACGATCACAGCTCCTTGCATTTGCTAATCGTCATCTTACGTTTGCGTTTGCAACCTGTGTCTTGCGTTCTGCGAACTATGTGAGCTAGGGGCTTTACACATGAGTGGTCGGAAAGTTTTATATTTTATCTCTTACGTACATTCAAATCTCCTGTTATCTCTGTGAGCCCAAACGCACCATTCGACCTGAGCACCACGCGGCAGATTTGGTACGACGATGTAATCTACGATGGCGTTGTTTGATCTCTTCTCCCATTCCTTTCTTGCGTCTGCTATGTAACTGGGATGCGTCAGGAAGCAGATGCCCTGTACTATGTCTCTGAGATGTGTGTTCGCGTCCATGGCCTTAAGAATACGATCGATGTGTCTCATCGTTAGGCGGCACTGCCGTTTAATATTCAAGTCTAGAAGAGTCATGTTGCCAGGCACCAAAGGTATCTGCCCAGCGACCGATATAATATCGCCCACCTGTTGAAGATCAATTTTCTCACTTCGATAGCTATTTCCTTTCTTCATTCGCGAAACTTCATTACTCGCTTTACTATTTGCTCAATCCGCCACTTAGAATTGAACAGTGACCTCTCAGACAACATAATGTCTAAAATCGGGACATCAGATTACCCATAAGTACATCTGATGTCCCGATTTTAGATATTGGCTACCTTCAGCAGAGAAAGTAGCTTTGCAACTGCTGCCAAATTCGTGAATCTGTACGCTCTTAGACTCAACCAAGATTAAGAGCACAGACCATGTGATGATGTGGCAGCCGTGTGGGCGCTCATAACAAAGGGCGAGTGTTCTCGAGAGGGTTAAAAGGTTCAGGGCCCGATAACTGAAGAATAGATTACCACGATTTGAGTTCCGTTTGCGGGACTCGGCGGTGCATGGTCTGACCTAATGGTGACCCCGAGCTTCCGGACTGACAAAGGAAAAAGGCGGAAGACAGCGCGGGAGAGGGACGTGGCGAGTCAAGAGCACCGAAGATGAACGAAGGAGCGCCGACAAGACTAGCCGAAGAAGGACACGGTGAGCCCCTCCATAAATATTATTAGGTTAGTTGCCGATGAACGCCGATACCGACCCTGCTTTGATTACAGTTGCCGAAGAAGCGGAGACCGATGATACCGCGGTCCCGGAGTTAGCGAGAACACCAAGAGTCCCTGGGTAAAAACTACTGGAGAGATCCGCAAGGCAGATGCAGGCGAGAGAGCGAGCGGCAAGCGGAAGCTAGCGCAAGGAGCGAGGAAGCTCCGAAAAACTCCAGAAACGGCCGAGGAAGAGAGGCCCTAATATGATCGGCAAGTTGCGCGGACTTCACTTCGTTGGTGGTATGCACCGTAACAGTAGCAAATTTGACGAGCAGTTGAAAGAGAGAGAGAGAGAGAGAAGCTATCGAGTCAATAAGGTAGCCAGCAGGAGGTACTATGAGAGCAGCACGAATTATGTAAGGTTATCCATTCGCACCTATTTCCGTAAATATTAAATCCGGGGTGGGGTCGACCGACGGATATTCCTTTTGGTGATTATGAGAATATTTAGTGTCAGATATCGAATCGATCTGCCGGAGCCATACGCGGATCTCCATCGTAGCCGAATGAGTTAATGTTTAGAGTTTAGTCGCCGCAACTCGGAGTAGGACTCACAAAGAAGGGCTGGCGTGGCGGAGCGATCGAGACCTCCCTCATTTTGATGATAATTGGCGTTTATGTAATTATGTTTTGCGGAGGGAGGTCTCGGAACTGCCGTCGAAGCCGTGCTCCCGATCATCCTCACACCCGCATCGTGAGGAAGTGGAATCCGCGTACCGAACAGTGAGTTACTCATCAAGGTCTCGCTATCGAATAAAATAGCTACCGCCACGAAGTCAATTTGCGTTGAGAACTGACAACTTTTGTTACAAAATAGCATATCTGCTCGTTTTTTTTCAGTCACCGCTACGATTACGTCCGAGCGACGGTCCGATTACAGTCCGACCAATAAATTTCATTGTTATCGTTACAAGATAGTAATTCTGTTTCCCGACGATTGATCTCCAAACCCTCTCCTTCTTCGACTTAAATTAACCCGAAAGCTGCCGGATCCGTTCGCTACCGAGTAGCGAGAAATATCGAGAGTTAGAATAGGAAATTTTGTGGACGCGAAACTATCGCATGGCGCCCAGAAACTTCGCGATAATTAGTGACAGCGAGTCGGAGCGGCTGTAATTGCGTAAGGAAAACTTGTCGCAACCAATCAGATTCACGAGTTTTATAATAGTTACAAAGCTGCTTTTTCTGTTGAACATAACCATTATATTGACTGGGCTTCTTCCTCCAAAAAATACAGAATTTTACTTACACGAACAGCTTGAGAGTACGGTCCGATATTAGCGGGTGCCCAGTGACTTATACTTTGAACGTGCATTGTGTGTCGTTTGTGGGCATTCTTGTCCCCGCACTCTTGGTTCTCCTTGTACGCCGTCGCATCTAGTACTATATGAACGTTCAAAGGACATTCTACGCATACACGAACCGGTGGATTCCTTTTACCCAACCAGGAGGTATATACCTCGTTTATAGCCTTGTAACTTGACATGTCTTTTATGTACAACGTTACCGCGACGATATCAGATATTCGCAGATTTTCGTCTTCAACTAATGCTGCAATTTAGACAAGGGATTGCGTGAACGAAAATTCTCTACAGGTATCTCGTATGCTTATTATATGAGTTATTATTGAATTGTTAGATGTACATAGGAATAACTGCTAATACCGAATAATTGCTAACCTAAAAAATACGTGATTAAGACATAAAGTTCACCTACTGCTTAATTTTCCCAGTGCCTCTTCTACGGAGGACGTGACGTCCGGACGTTTTCCAGCAATACCGCCGAACCAAAACCATCCCTTCTGATTTCTATTAACAGTCGGTGCGTCTGGATAATCCTCCTCTTCGTACAAAATCTCCATCGGGCTTGGTGGATTAAATGGACCTGTATATTTATATATACACGTATATAAACATTTTCAATGAGTTTTCTAATCTCTCTTTTTCGTTCTTTCTGTGTTCTATTTATTATAAATACCGGAATTCGATGTCTTCAGACTGTTGTTTCCGCACTCGTGCTCGTCATTTTCGTCATCTGACAAATTGCAGCCATCGTGTAGCACCGGACCAACTATTTCGGCGATATAATCTTGTGATGTTTTCATCGAGATAGTTTTCAATCTTTCCGCCAGATTCAACTGTTCCATACCGTTCTGCAAAGCAAAAAGATACTTTTTATCTTAATACCGTAAAAAATACATATCTCGAAATTATTTATATAATGTACAGAAGAATGACAACTTACATTTTTGTCTAGTAGACGAATCTTTGTAAAATTAAGGTATCCTACAGGTGCTATGTCGTCACATGTATGTACAATGCTCTCATACTCATCACTAAACCACAAAATAAAGATAAAATTAGAAATTGTTAATCATATTACATATGAAATGCAAGTACCGATTGTGTAACTCACAACGCAATGCTTTTTCCAAACAAAGGACAATCCAAAGTAAAGGTTTCGTATTCCCCACCTTCTCCGCATATGTTTACTCCATACTTTTCTTTCTGTAAACATAATATTTCTTATAGCTGTTCTGTTGGTATAAAAATACCAAAAATACTTAAAAATCTCAGAAGACGCGAAAATGAGAAATAGAGAAAATTAAATTATTAAGGATACGATATAGCATCAACTGATATGATAGAAAAATTGTGTGACTTACTATTCTGACAAGATGAGTTTGCATTTCGGATATAGATTTACCCAAATGCTTAGGTTCGAGACCCAATGCTGCAACTTTAATCAATACTGCATTAACAGAACTCTGTATCATCTCCATTAACAGCTCCTCCTGGTCCCGTCTCCATAAATATGATATGGAAATAAGACCTAAACGACTGCAGCTGAAAGAATATTCCAGATTTACTCGAATTTACAGTAAAATGGCAAAATTGACAACTCACTGATAAGTAAAATAAATAATGATTACACATTTTCTACACGAATTCGTTGGTAATCACTAAGAATAGCACCAGATGACACAGCCTCTATATTTTCGCGCTCCTAAAATATATGGATCGTTAGTATTCTTATATGGTTATTAGATATTGTGTGCCTATTCAGTAAGAAAGAAATCATTAACACAACATTATTATGATGTTTTATAATATGTAACATTTTCAAATATATATTTCTTAATGTTGCATATAATGTCATTGTTAACAATATTTGATCAAAACATTAAAAATAATATTTCTACACTATAATTTTAAGTTAATAAAATAATGCTTCTATACTATAATTTTAATTTAAGAACATAATATTATCAAGTAACAGTTTTAAAACATTTATAAAATATTATATCAAAATGTTTACAAAATTCACATAAAATTAATGTTTCAAAAGATTGATTTAACGTTTCTTGTTTACTAGGTACATGTAACAAACTTAATTTTTTTTACCTTTACTTTGCTCAACAGTCTAAAAAGGTCTTCGACTTCGTCATTTTCTGTAGGGCAATAATATTTCTCTTGCATTTTAGACCTACCAAATGTTGGTTCACGATACATAGGCAAGCCCATAGCTTTAGCGATGTATTCGACACCTTGGTAGCCTACCGTTTGGTACATGAACGAGTCTAAATCATCTAGAAACATTGTGTTACATTTATATCTGCACAATTTAATAAATCAATATAAATTGCCAGTCAAATATTTTAAAATTATCTATCTCGATACCTTTTCCAACAGGATACAAATTTGCTAAAGCCACAATTTCATGGCCAGCTGCTACACATTGCATCATGTTGAAACAAGAATCCTTGCCACCACTAACTAGCGCAACGACCCTCATCTTTTACAGATTGTGCTTGGATCTTTCTTGAGGGATAATTATGACTAAAATTAAAGCCGATTTATCTGTTTAGACAATCATCTGCAATAAAAGTAAACATATATAATATAGATATAAAAGTACGGCTGTGTAAGATTTATATCTTAAGAGTTGTAATTAAAAAAAAATATATAGTATACAATGTAATATTCATTGAATTTATTTAGATATAAATTATAATCATAACTATAATAGTAAAAATAATAATACTGCATTCATAAATATATAATTCTAAACTTTATATAAATATTGCAAAGAACCAAATAAAAGTATTACAAATTAATTTGATGTTCTATAATATTTTTTTTTTTCTTGCAAATGTACCTTACGTCATTGCACCTACATATACTATATATGTACTATTTACATTGACATAAACGGATGGCTATGATTTTATAATATTAAAATATCATACAACTATCAATAATAACAAACATCTCTACATGTATACAGTAAATAATTAACGAGCGTTATATATACATATATTAAAACGATAATTGGTGTTTATATATAT